CAACCATATCCTCAAAAAAAAAAAAAAAAAAAAAGTCAAAGAAATATTAACTACAGTGCAGTCGGGGTTCCAAGTTGTAAATGCAGTCTGCGGACTGTAGGCAAAAGGCCCAGCAGAAATGTTGAATGTATACAAGCCCAAAAAAAAAAGGAAAAAAAGAAAAAAAAAGAAAAAAAAAAAGGATTTGGGTCACGTTCGGGGCAATGACTGAAGTGCATTTAAGACTTGAAATTGTGACTGCACCGTTGTTACCTCTGAAAAAAAAAGGGCGGCCAAGTGTCGAAGCCGAAGTCTTCTGTCACTAAATGACATCATAGTACAAAGATGATACGGGCCCCATTACGTGCTTTCAAGCTTCAGCTGGAAAATATGAGACTACCTAGTGGGTAGTAAATTACTACCGTCTTCCCCCGAATCCCCCGAACACAACGCACCCTGATTACGGCTGTACCGAACTGGAAATTTAACTTGTATACATTCATTTTTAGGGTGCGTTATGTTCGGGGGAAGACGGTAGTCATTCTGTGATCATGGCTATAACTCTCTTTGCAAAGCAGGTTACCTAATTTAAGTACGAATTCAATTGGACATCCTATATGATCCAAGATTTGCCCTGCTGCTCCTGCATGCATGCACATCCACATGCATGATGCATGCACATGCACATGCACATGCACATGCATGATGCATGCACGTATGCCAATGCCATAATTTTGAATTTGGAGAAAACACGAGTCCCTCATGTCAGCTAGTACAGCTACCGTCTTCCCCCGAATAAAATGAAAGGTCATGATTTAGAGCTGTTCCTCAACTGAAAGAACCCCCAAATACAGCTATAACTTGAATGATCAGAGTACTTCATATTCGGTGACGAGTCTGACGACGGACGGTAGTGGGTGTCACTGCGTGAGACGTCACGGTATCTATTAACCCAGCCGGCTTCAGGGGCTGGACCAGGTGCGTTGATCCTCCATGGCGGGCTGAAAAAAACTGAAGTAGGCTAGGGGAGAACTTGACAAGACTTGAAAAGATCTTTTTTGGCTGACTAGCGTCTTCACCCGAATAGAACGCCCGGTCATTATCGCTGTATCTAGACGGAAAGTTACCCAAATACGGCTGAAATGACCGGGCGGTAGCTTAATACTAACTAGTACTAGTAGTAGGTATCATCTTGGCATCTTGATAATCTATTAATCATCTATTAATCTACCAAATATACTGCTGTATCTAGACGGAAAGTTAGCCAAATTCGGCTGTGAAAGCTCGCGGAATCTGGAACGACATTACAGGCAACATTAATATAGCAACTGCTTGCACTCCCGGGTGTCAGGTACAGGTTTAAAGAGAGGCTAGAAGAGGAGGAGGAGGAGGAGGAGGAGGAGGAGGGGGAGGAGGGGGAGGAGAGGAACACAGGTACTAAGTCGTAGTACAACGTATGCTTCAGGTATTAACGTCTCAAAGTGTGGAAGGCAGTGATGGCCAGCCAATCACAAGGAAAAGCAAGCAAGGAAAGGAGTAGTGACCGACTTTCTACACTGTAGGCATCTGCACCTGCTTCAGCGAGTAAATCTTCTCCAAAATTGGCTGGCTCTTCTGGATCGTGTTGGTGTTGGAAGACGGTGCCAAGAGGACATGCTCGTAGAATAGCGCGGCGATGGCCGCACCCAGCAGAGGCCCAATCCAGTAGATCCAGTGATCCTCCCACACGTCAGACCACACTGCGGCCCCAAAGGACCTGGCGGGGTTCATGGATGCCCCGGTGATGGGGATTGCAGCTAGGTGATTGGCAAGAACAGTGAGACCAATCATCAGCGGGGCGATGGCCGACGGGCCGCGAGGGTCCACAGCTGTGCCCCAAATCACAAACACCAAGATGAACGTGATGATAACCTCCGTCAAAAAGCTGGTTCCGACCTGAATTTGTTCGGCGTCCATATCCACCACCACCGCTGTCCCGTTCATTGCGGGAATATGAACGTTGATGAGATGGCTTCCAAGATTACCCTGCCCAAAACCAGAGAGGAAACAGAGAAAACCGGCAGACAGACAGACAGACAGACAGGCAGACAGGCAGACAGATGCACCGAGGATGGTAACTGTGTGAGGGCACAGTCAAGGGTCAATTGCAAGTGGCTGAATGACACACAGTGACACAGTGTCACACATCTTTTGAAAAACACGTCATGCGTTCAAATCCTGATTCCGGCCCGGCAGCCCCACACATAGCCCACCAGTGCATGCCTGCCGATTGCAGAACTTCCAGCCTGAGGCCCTGAGGTGAACCCAATCCCAAACCATCCATGGACTATTTGTCCAGTAGGCCCCACCAGCCTTTTTTGTCCGGTAGGCCGACCTGCATCGCGGTCCTGCGATTTTGTGGCCTGCCCAATCGGGCCGGGAACAAACTACGGTCACCGTCCTCACCCGAATAGAACGCCCTGTAATTATGGCTGGATCTAGACCGAAAGTTGCCCTGAGTACAGATATAGTATAATGACCGGCCGTTCTGTTCGGGTGCAGACGGAGACGGTAGCTGGGAAACCTACTCAGTCTGGCAGTGTTGGTTAAAGGTTAGCAACTCCCCCCCCCCCCCTTGACAAATTTCGTTCCAAAAATATATATAAAATGTCCGTTTTGACGAAATGATCGCAGTTCAAAGCATATTAAAAAAAAAAAGAGAAGGGAAACAAAGAAGGTCAACAGAAAAAGTCTTGTTCAATCCAGCTGAGTCCATCTGGCAGACTCTGGCTGTGCACAAGGGGCCCAGATATTAAGTGGTATTAACCGTAACAGGGTTACGATACGACTCTCTGGCACTCATCCGGCGGGTGTAATTCATCTGCTTAGAATTTCATCCAGGTGCCACACTGAAAATGGCGGCATTTACTTATAATTGACAATCGCATCCAGATGTAGTGCAATCCTTATATACACCAGGGGCCAAGTCCCACTAGCAGCATCGAGTTTCCTCAACGCCTGAGTCTGGACGTGTTAACTTTGCGGAGACTCTGACGTGTGATTGAGGAAACTCACCCGGTCCGGCATTTGTGCACAATGTCATCCCCAGGCCTCAACCATGTCCAGATTCAGACTTTGAGGAAAGTTTAAATCGATCATGCTGATAGTATGGGACTCGGCCCCAGGCGGGACACTCAGGCCTCAATGGATCATCCTTCCCTCCTAAGCCTTGTGAAGTTGTGAATAAGACTGCTTAGGAATAGACTGTCACCCTCAGAATGACTGCGGGTTTGAACTCAATAATTACCCTAGTGAAAAAATTATCTTTACACCTGGAAGGCCTAATACTAGCAGGAAAGCCAACGAAAAAGTACACTCAGTGACTCAGGGCAGAGTACTCAGGGCTTACCACGGTCTTCCCCCGAACATAACGCACCCTGATCATGAATGTATAGAAGCTATCTTTCCGGTCCGGTACAGGCAAAATGAGGGTGTGTTATGTTCGGGGGAAGACAGTAGCCTAGGAAATTTTAAACTCAGCTTTGGATGTTAATGTGGTCAGATGCATTCAGGTTTGGCCGTAATTGCAGTCAGGTACATTCAGGAGACTGCTAGTGTTACTACAGTAACTATGCCCTCACTTAGCTCACTATCATTTCAATCAATCTCAGACTGATTCAAGCGTATGACATTTTCTGAGAGGTGCATGGGAACTTGGGAAGTGAATTTCAATGATCGCCGTCTGTATTGAGCTGCTGTCATAAACCAACAGTACTTCCTTGAGTCGTGCCCGTTAATGTGCCATGACTTTAGGAAACGTACGAGCCATTATAGGAGCGCCCAAATTCATCCGACTAGAAACATTTCTACTCTTTTTTTTTCCGCGGTCGATAGCTGGGCCAAGTACTGGTGGTTTAACAAGACGTGTTTTTCATTTTAACCACCACTGAATCCGGATGATTTTTTTTTTTTTTAATGTATTTTGACAAACAGGAAGGTGCATGTCTTGGAGCCTAAGGGAAGCTGTCTTAAAGTCTCCAGTCTCATTGAATTTCGTAATTGTAAAAACGGCTCCCCTTAGGCCGGGTGTCATAACTACAAATTGTAAAAAAAGGCATCGAATTTGAAATTTGGTATTTCCATATCATTCTTTACTGGTTCGGAAGGTTTTTCGTGAAGTGGTGACTAGTTTCTCAGCCGAATAGAACACCCGGTCATTATAGCCGTATTTGGTGCAATTTTCAATCTACATACAGCGATAATGACCGGGCATTCTATTCGGGTGAAGACGGCAGTTTCTCAGCCGAAGCTGGGTAATGGGCCCGGTGGTTCAATTGGTCTGCAAAAAATTTCAGAAGGTACACAGGGCTCGGTTCCCATGAATAGGTACTAGGAGCTGTTGTCCCCCCCCAAAAAAATGCGGCGGCGGCATGTTTTCAAACCCTAAAGGCAAAAAAAAGTAAAAATTTACGCGCGGGCAAAAAGCACAGCAGCACCTCCACGTGCCTTTCGTTGGCTGGAGGGAGACAACAATTGCAAGCTATGTTCGCAGGGGTCCCCTGTATATTATTTAGCCTTAGGAGACTTAGGAGTAGTGACAGGTAGGTAGGTAGTGAAGGTGAATTCAAAGAATTTGAAAGATGATAAAAGATTTGAAAGAATAATATACCGTAGTTTTCGGAGGAGAAAAAAAGAAAAAAAAAAACAGCCGCCGTTCTCGAAAAGGGGACTGGGCTTAGGGGCATAGGCGTTGTAACTTGTGAGCAATGTAAGGAGCATAGAAGGCTAGGTTAGGATTAGAGCCAACAACAACAACAACAACAACAACAACAACAAAAAACAACAACAACAACAAACAAACAAAAAAAAAA